ATTATGATTTTGTAAATGGCACATAAATGTCACTCAGATGCAAGTTTCTGTTATGCACTTTCTGAATAAAGACCATGTAAACTATAACAAGGTACTAGGATGAATATTAGGATGAGATACTATGGCCTAGAGACAATCCCTGATGACTTTACCAAGGACTTGGAAAGAACTCTTTCTCCAATTTCAAATGTGTTCAAAGAACTTTATGCAAAGCAGCACTGTAGTCAACATGCAATTGTTTTCTCTAACTGCTTTGTAGAGCATATAGTCTGTGATGCTAATTGAGGCACCAAGCTTTAGCTATCATAGGAGGGTGCAAACTACTCATCTTATGAAAATGTACCAGTCTGACTGGTATTTTGCCTGAGTAGGAGGTCAACCTGCTTTGCATGTGCAGAGTTGAAACCTCCAAGTTTTAAGCTAATTAAACAAACACTCAAAAACTTTCCAAGCACCTGCATATGCTAATTGTTATAGTGCAGAAGAGTATTTGAACATACCACCATTTATAGGAATCAGTTCATATTAGGAATAGAACCCCTGAACTGTCTTTTGTTATTGTACTTTCAGCCTATTATTTGTGTCTTGACTTTGTTATGTTTGGTCATAATGAGGTGGGGGGTAATCGAACTGCAATGGAACAGCTGGGGTAGGTAATGAATGATGAAGATGGGGGCTGATTCAAGAGGAAATAAAATGCTAATATCTCCAGAGCACTTCCCCCTCCTCCAATTTGTTGTCAAGGTTACCTGCCTTCAGGGAATTTTTCCCCCCCAGTCAGGAGTTGTTAATGAATGCCTATACCCCAGGGTGGATTGTTCTCACCCTTGGATCACTTCACCTTTGGGTCACTTAGGCAATATAAGAGAGGGAGGGGACATAAGTAGAAAGGAAACAGAAAAAGTACAAAAGGAGGAGGACACCCCCACTCCCTTGGGCACCAATTGAGACCCTATCCTCTGCAGAGGAATATCGGTCTTTCTGTCTCTCTGTTCTATTCTTTAAATAAAACTTTTTGCACTTGCCTCAGCATTTCTCAGGTGTTCAAATCTTCAACACAAGAGGAAAGGGAATCCAACATGATTCTCAACACCGATATCAATAACAATATTTTAAATATCTGCCTTCTTCTTTGTGCTCCTCAATTTCCTGCCTAGTTTTCTGCTGTATCTCCTGTTTTCTTTAATATTTTATTTTAAATACCCAGATTTTTGATGCTTCTGGAACTTATTTTAATATATAATATGAGGAAGGGATCTAACTTTGTTTTTTTCCAGATGTTTTGCCAGTTAGGGCAGCATCTTTATTAAGTAAACCTGAGATAGAATTTTGGTTTAAAT